GTCGCGGCGCCTCGATTTGCTGTACGTACATTCGCATTCACATCGATGCATCCATCACCAACACCGCAGCCGCAACCGCTTAGTGCACACCACCATCCTTCACTTCGATTACATCTGCAGTAGTCATCATCTTTGCCTCTTCTACAACAATCACCGCAGTCGACATGTCGCTCAAGCAAGAGTCACTCAACAAGACGTTTGGTGGAGAGCTGCGCAAGTACAGCTACCAATCGCAAGCTCTCGGAGGCCTCACCACCAACCTCAACGTCTTTTTACCTCCTACCGCCATTGGTGCCTCTGCCAAGCCAGCGCCCGTGCTCTACTACCTTGCAGGATTGACATGCACCGAGGACAATGGCGCTCAAAAGGGTGGCATGTTCGGTGCGGCTGCTTCGCACGGCATCGCGCTCGTCTTTCCCGACACCAGCCCTCGCGGTGCCAATATTGAAGGAGAGGATGAGAGCTGGGACTTTGGAACGGGTGAGTGTATGCGTATCAGCTCCAGCACTTGCTTGCCACTGAGCCTGCACTGACAACTTCTCGCTTTGCCCTTGCTCGCTCTACTGCCCCTCAGGTGCTGGATTTTACGTGAATGCTGACAAGGCCCCTTGGAACAAGCACTACAACACGTACGACTACGTCGTGAGAGAGATTCCAGCCAAACTCTCGGAAGCTGGCTTGCCCATTGTGAGTGTTGGCACTCGGCCCATCGTCTTGCAACTCTGCTCACGTATATTACGTGCACTCACACTATGGACATCGAAAGGCGGTCGAGAAGGCCTCGATCTTTGGTCACTCGATGGGAGGTCACGGCGCGCTGTCCATCTACCTTCGGGAAGCGGGCAAGTACAAGTCAGCTTCGGCCTTCGCGCCCATCTCGCACCCAACTGCCTGTCCGTGGGGCGAAAAGGCTTTCTCGGGCTACTTCAACGACGCCGCAAAAGGCAAAGAGCACGATTCCACCGAGCTCATCTCTCAGACTGGTGGGCCTTCCAAGCGCCAGCTGAACATCCTGATCGATTCGGGTACGGGCGATAACTTTTACAAGCAAAAGCAACTGCTACCCGAGGACTTTGAAGCTGCTGCTAGGAAAGCTGGGTACGATGCAAAGGACGTCAATGTGAGATTGCAGGAAGGCTACGATCACTCTTGTGAGTAAATGTTTCGGGAGAACTTCCAGCTCAGCTGTGCATGATACTGTGCATGCTGAGAGCCCATCTCATGAAACGTTCACCCACCTCCAGACTTCTTCATCTCGACATTTGCTGGAGAGCACATCAATTGGCACGCAAAATTTCTGACGGCTTAGGGCAGTGTCCTGGCAGCTAATAGATGCAATGCGTGATCCATTACTTGTGTCGCTGCCCCGCCGAAGCTCAAGACTGCAAAGCAATGATTGGATAGCAGTGTACATCCGGTATAAGTGCGGCTTTCAGGCTGCATGGCTGCAGAGTGTTGCTGAAGCACGCCCGGTGCCGCAAAATGTGTACTACGAGGAGCCGATTTCACTTTTGTAAACATGGTGGTTGCACTTTCCCATCAAGTGTATAATTGTCCTGAATGCAGCAGTAGCGCTCAAGTGGGACCGTCGTGATCAACACATCAACACTCGACACAGTCATGGCTCTCGGCGCGAGCTACACGTGGTCGGCGCAAAGAGCGGAAAGGCATGGTTCAGAGACGACGCCGGAATTATGTTCCGAGACGTTCGGGCCTTTGGTCCTCCGCGGGACCGACATGGCGCTGAGAGCCTGAGAGCGCTTGGCTCTTCTCGCCTTTTGAGCTGTTCGCACTTTAGGAGGCACACGCAAGTTCTTGACTGCTTTCATTAAACTGCTCCATGTTCTGCTCGTACTTGATGGGAACGGAGAACAAGTGTTGTGACCCGCGTTCGGACGCTCGAGAACGTTGCAGGGAGGTCACAGTGCCCAGTAAGTGCCTCCTCCTTGTAGGCCCAGGCTTTTTGGGCCGCTTTGGGCCGTTTGGAGGTCCGCGTCCGCGAAGGCCAAAGCAATCAAAACGCACATCAAGTACCAGCTTGCCTGTTCTTACCAAATCACGAAAGCAGACTCGCCGGACTGCCATTGACGAGTAGAGTCTAGAGAGGCCTTTACGCACGCGATGCAGTCGGGTAACGACACTCAGCAACGCTTCACATTCGTGATTGTTGAAAGAGGTGTTGCATGCAAATTGACCTGCCAACAGTGCAGACACGGCTCAACGGGATTGCCTCGTTGTGCGAATGCTAATCTGTCGCCAAAGCAATGATTCGACCGGTGTCCGCATGTCAAAACACTTCATCGAGCTATGCCGATTGTCGACCGCTTGGTCATCAGACTGCGTGAAGCGGTAAGCAGGATTGTCATCGAAATGGCGGACGCGGCCCAGTCCTTTTAGCAGAGAGAGAGAGAGCAAGGGAGAGAAGTAGAGCAGTAGCTCGCACCTCGTCCTCGTGTTTGCACCGTGTCTTTGAGAGATCTCCCCCGAAAATATCGGGGCAAACGAGACGTCTAATGAGCGTGCTTGCCTGCCCGTAGCAGTACAAAGTGCCGAGAGTCAATGAAGACAGGCTGCGCCCCTGTAAATCTAGCTCTCTTTCGTTGCAGGTTGATCGGCTATACCCCAGTCTTACATTGCCTGTTCACGGGCTGTGGCGCCGCTAGCTGGCCTCCGCTGGCCGTTGCTGTGCTTACACACATTCAATATTAGGGTCAGTTTGCGGCATATTGTTCTTGCCGTCAAAAGCAATGGCGCAGCACGGATCGCTCGTGCCTGGTCGTACTGTCGATTGTCAAGAGGACGGCGGTGTCGCACGGAACATTGGGGCGGTGCGCTCCCGTGCAGAGCAGAAAATGTCGTTACCACAAGTCACACCCACCGGTGAGCTCTGAGGCGACAGGCGCCTGTCCAAGACGAGTGGAAAGGCCCGTGAGCTCACGTACCCCCATCGAAGTCGAGTAAGGGCCAAACACTTCAAATAGCAAGAATGCATGAAGAAGGCCATCTTTGCGAACTGCCTGTGTCGCTCCTCTCCCCTCCCACGTTCTCCTCTCCTTGCGCAACCTTCCATCATGAAGCTCTGTTCTTCCATCCTGGCACTCTGCGTCGTGCTTTCGTACAGCTTCTCAGCCGTCCACGCGTGGCAGAGTCGTATCGAGCTGCAGGATACTATCGAGACGACAGCTCGCGACTACCTCAAGCGCCCCTCCTCCCACACCTTTACGCGCGAGGCCAAAGAGGTTGCCAGGCGTCAAGTCAGCCAAGCCCTCGAGGGTGCTCGTTCTTCTCCATCGTCACCAGCTGAAGGATCTGGACCGCCAAGAGGTACGGCGAATGAGGACCAGATCCGTCAACTGTGCAAGGACCTCCGCACACAGCTCGGCAAAAAGATCGTCATCCCGAGACCTGCGATCGTGAACCTGGAGTACGAAGAATCGCGCCTACACGTCTACAATGCCGCTCAAGCAGAGTGAGTGCGCAGTGACAGACGTCCGAGAACGAGAACGACATGCATTTCGAGCCCTGACTGTGTGCGCCCTCTTCCATCGGACACCAATCAGCGAATACCGTAAGTTGTGACGAGTCGCCGCTACAAACGTCGGATGATGGGGCGACTGAGCTAGGACCTTGTTTTTTGCCCGGCCGCCCTAATTTGCCGAAGCCTACTGCTTGATCTTGCCCACCAGCGCAGACCATGTGCGGGCTGCCTATGCTGGATTGAAACGAATTGGCGCCGGTTTTGGCGTGCGCAGCGGCGGCCATGCCACGATCGACGGTTGGTCATCCACCAAAGACGTCATGATCGATTTCAAAAATTGGTGCAACGTTGAACTCGCCAACCAGGGTAGCATCGCAAATGTCTCACCGGGGTGTCGTTGGGGAGAAGTGTACAAGCGTCTCGAAGCTCAAGGCAAGACTGTGCTCGGTGGTCGACTGAGCAACGTCGGCCTTGGCGCAACGCTCGGTGGAGGGTGAGTCTGAACTGAGCGTCACTTGATCTCCGCGACAAAGGACTGATCGAGATGCTTCCCTGGGTACATCAAGCCTATCGCACCTCTCCAACCTGCACGGTCTCATTGCAGATAACGTCGCATCGTACGATCTGATCACGCCAGAGGGTCATTCCTTGACCGTCAGCAACACCACCAATGCCGACCTCTGGTGGGCGCTCAAGGGAGGCAAAAATCGTTTCGGTATCGTCACCCGCTATGGCTTTCAGGCTTACGATGTCGGGTCTTGGTGGGGAGGTTTGTTGACGTACAAGGGCGAAGACGCACTCAAGGTGTGCGACGCCGTTACCGAATTCGCCGAGACCTTTTCGGATCCCAAAGCAGCCATCATTCCCACCTTCAACGCGGCTCTGGGTCCCATCGGGGAATTTGTTTCCGTGGCGTTGGCATACAACGGACCCGATCGTCCAGCTGGGGTGTTCGACATGTTTTTCAACATCCCTCGAACGGCGGAAAACGTCGGCAAAAAGTCGTATGCCGACATCAACAGCGTTTACGACTTTGGCGCAATCTGTGAGTGGCGCTTTATCTGCTGCTTCAGCTCGTCGTTGTCCCGCTGATTGTCAGTCGATGCGATTTGTTCCAACCAAATATAGACGGTTTCAACGTGAACTTCCGCACAACCAGCATCGCGCTGAACAAGGACAAGACCCGCGCGATCTACAACAACTGGAAGCAGGCGGTAGTTGACGCCGCTGGTTTGTACTTCTCAATGTCGGTTGGCTTGGAGCTCTTCACGCGCCAGGGCCTTGCGCAGCACGCGGCGAAAGGCGGCTCTCCATACGGGTGAGTTGTTGTTTAGGTTTACACATGGAGTGCTCGATGGGCTGACTCCTCCATGTCTGTCTGTCGATGTTGTAGCTTTGATGGTACGCCTTTCTCTGCTCAGGTGCGCAAATGAAGGGCCGAGAGCGACTTGCTGCGCAGCACACGTCGGCTGACCCTGATCCCCCCCGCACGACAGAGTTACGTGATGATCTATTCGCCATCTTCACCCACTAATGACAAGCAGAAGCTGCTCGAGATCGTCAAAGCCGCTGTCGACAAAACGCCAAGCGATGCTGGCCGGTAAGAGCATTGCTTGAGCAAGAATGGTGGAGGCTGAGTCGTGCGGCTGATCCAATTGCTTCTCTCCCTTTCGGATGCCAGCCCGCTATTCGTCAGCTATGCGTCCCCTGAGCAGGCGCCCTTCCTGACCTATCGACAGCTTGATCGCCTCAAGGTGCGTATAGGAGAATATCGCATGGCTAATCACTGCACTGACTTATTGCCTGATAACTGGTTTCAGCAAATCAACCAGCGCTACGACCCTGAAGGCTACTTCATCTCCCACGCTGGGGGTCCTCGTTTCGATGACAAATACTGATGCTCGAATGCTACCCTTGCGCGAGCCAACCTTGAGCCTGATTCGTCGCTCCTGCTCTTGTAAGACTATTCAGTCGCGCCAGAATGCCTATCTCATCGCAGCTCGCCTCTCTCTGCCCTTCCTGAATTGATCTCTCCGCTGTGCCAGAAAGATGAAAGGGGTCTCGTTTGTGAGAGGTCAATGTCGCTCGCGATCCTGCAGTCACGCCAGAAATTTGATGTCTTGCAAATGTTGCAGCGATGCAGCTGAGCAATCGAGATACGAGATTGACCTTGCACAGCTAGCAAAGGGCCGTCGTCATGGAAGCGAGGAGCATCGTCATTCATGATGGTCTCTCCTCGACCTATTTCCTCTTGAGCTCGGCTCTCCTCTTTCGTCCGTCCAGAATATCCTTGATCTTCTGCTCCTTTGTGCGCTGTTTGTCCAGCCGCTCCACCAATTCAAAAGCGGCCTGAGCTTCGGGTGTCGAAGCGATGCGACTCAGTTCCGCTGCCCTGCCTAGGGCATCGGTGGGGTTGAATTCTGCTCTGCGAGCGAGCAGGGCCGCTTGTCCTGCTGGTAGTCGAATCACGGGTGGAAAGTCGTTGGGTGCTCCGACCATAGGTACGCCCATCGGCATGGGGACTGCGATGCTCTGAGCATCTGCTGGAGGCAGAGCAGCCAGTGGCGCCAAGAGGGAGGGCAGGGCGTGCATCAATCCGCGCGTAGGTCGATCAGAAGGCGGGGGAGGGGGAGCTCCATGGGCAGCTGCGGCGGCCTCCAAGGCTCCTGGCGAGGACAGCAGCGCAGAGATCTGAGAGAGCTGCTGCATGGCTGCTTGAATCTCCATCGAGCTGGCCGGCTTTGCCTCCTTCGACCCATCGCCGACTGCTTTTGGTGCATCCTTTGCCTCGGCCGGCGTAGCCTGAACCATCGTCTTCACTGTCTTGCGTTTCCCCAGTCTTGTCTTGTCGTGCAATAAACCAGATCGCAACGGGAAAGAGGAAGTCAAGAGCTCTGCCGGCAGCGCTAAGCCGGGATTTGCAAATGACCACCAGAGGGGGAATGAAGCAGCGCAGGGTTACGACCAGTCAAGCCAGTGCAGCGACAAATGATCAGGCTAGAGAGAGCTCGAATGGTGCCAAGCATGCGTCTTGATGTGCTGACCGCGCCAAAGATGGTATGAGGTTTAGATTGACGGTGCCAATCAAGAGGATGCTCACGAGTTGAGGTGCGCGCCAAAGACGGAAGGAACAGCATCGCGCGGCCGCTCATCTTGGCCAATAGAGTGGAGTTACTTCGCGAACAATCTGACTTCTTGACCCAGTCGCGCCCCACAGTGTGAGTGCACGTCCAGCAGCTGCAACCTGTAGGTATAGCTGTGATCTTGCGCTGGCGGCCCTTGCAAACACCGCACATGCACATGCCACCTCCACACGCACGGGCATACCCACGTATAGAGTGATCGAGCACAACAGCAGCTGCTCAGCAGCAGCAGAGACTGACTGGGCGTGCTCATTTGCCGAATGAGAAAGAAGTACAGTACACCAGCAGCAGCACCAAGCATGTTCCTCCTCCTCGCAGCTGGCTCGCTGTCGAGCGGTGGCACCACCAGCAAGCTCGCGAAGAATCGTGAAGCTGAATTCACGAATCATCAATGTGAATGTCCGAAGGCATGCTGCATGGACACATTGTCATGCTTTCCCTCAACTGGCTTGCTCCACATGACGACTAGCAGCTACAGTATACTCAGACTGTGGGTACGTGCAGTAGCCATGCAGCAGCTAGAGAGCATGAGATGGTGAGGTGCGTGCAGGGGCCACCCGCTTCATGTGACGTTCGCTGCTGCTGCTGCTGGATGGCGCCATCTTGTACAGCGTACGCTTGTGGTGTGCGTGATGCTTTGACAGACTGGAGTGGTGCAGTCAGGTCGGCAGGCGTGTGCGTCTCTGTGGAGGCTAGCACGACCGACTACTGTTGACTGGCGTTGGAGGCTGATGATGGAGGGCACGGCCCATACAAGAACGTGTCTGGGCATGTCCATCCCACCTTCATGCTTGCTGTAGCCACCTTCTTCACAAACACCATACTCTACAAGACCATCACTTTCCAACACATCTGTCCTGCCTATCAATACACTCGCCCAACATGGCCGCTACCGCTGCTGCAATCATCAAGGGAGCTGTCAACCCTCTCAAGCAGGGCAGCAAGGTCGCTACCGGCGTTCAGCTCAAGGAGACCAACCCCACCGAAGCCAATGTGTCCCTCGACACTCTGACCGGCAAGAGTAAGTAGCGGTCGTGCACTGGCTGCTTCCTCCTACACTTGTAGACGAAGCAAGTCGCGCTTTTGCGTTTCGCAAGCATGCACGTCCCTTGCAACTTACATCTTTACGCCTTTTTTTCCCTCTGCCACTCCTCTCGACAAGACATCATTCTCGGTGTTCCAGGTGCATTCACTCCTCCATGCTCGTCTCAAGTGCCAGGCTACCTACAGCACGCCGACCAGTTCCTCGCCAAGGGCGTCAAGGGAATCTACATCGTCGCAGTCAACGACCTCTTCACTGTCCAAGCCTGGAAGGAGAAGCTGGGCGCAAGCAACCCAGCCATCCACTTTTTGGCCGACGACACGGGTGCTGTGAGTAATGTTGTATTCTGTATAGGCTTCATTCCACCTCTCATCAGCTTCACAAACTTGCATGCTAACGCTTCTCTGCAATGTTGACGCATACACACCAAATTGCAGTTCACCCGCTCTGCCGGTCTCGACTTTGACGCTTCCGGCTTGCTCGGAAACCAGCGCTCTCAGCGCTACGTCGCCATCGTCGAGGATGGTGTGGTCAAGCACCTCGCCAAGGAGGACGAGGCTCCTAATGTCACCGTCACCGCTGCTGACAAGGTCCTCGCCCAGGTCTAAGAGTGCGGCACGCACATCCAATCAAGAACAGTACCGTGTTTGTTGCATTACACTTCAATGAAGTCATGACTACCGCTAGCTGTCAAGTTTGATGCTGTGCTATTTGCTGCAATGAGTGTCAAATGATCAGACTGGCTTCGCTGCGCGAGGGACGAGTTTAGTGCCGCACACGCAACGCTTTGTGATGGTGGACCAAAATGCCCAGTCAGAGCAAGCTTCGTCAGTGCCTGCCACATGCTACACCTCTCGAAAGCAAGCTCGTCACACCCGCAGGTCAGAAACGCGGTTGAGGCGCTGTGTCATTGCAGTAGTGATGCAGTCGAGAGGGTGCGAATAAAGTGCATAGGCGTACAGTTGAGGTCATGAGTCAAGCGGGAAAACAAGGGGAAGATGATGAGGTCTGACCATGTTAAGGACTCGAGAGTCATTTGCGAGCATTCAAATGCCAGCCTGAGCTGGCGCAGCGCCAGCTCTAGGTCCTCCGTACTCGTAAATCTTCTGACCGGCAAACTCCTCGTGCTTGTGCACCTCTCCATTCTCCCCCTTCTTCACACCTCCCTGGCCGTAACGACGGACACGCTCGCGCTCCCAATCGCCAGCAGTGGGGATCTTCTTGCCTGCTGCCCGGGTCTCTGCCCAGAGATCCTTGCCGCCTAGAGCCTTCTGGACGATCGGACTGTCGGTTAGAGGCTCGAGAGGAACGTTATCGTTGAAGAGGCCAAAGAAGAAGACGCCGAGACGCTCATAGTGAGCTTGATCAGCTGGAGGTGCAACCACTCGGTGAATGGTGGGCTTCAGGAAGCCTCCGGACAAGAATTGCATAGCGTCACCCAAATTCAACACGATCTGGAACGACGTATGAGAACGAAATGCGCTGGTCAGCAAGCAGAGCGTCGAAGAGACTGCGATGGAGTGAGCGACTCACTGCGTTGTCACGATGCTTGACGAGACGCCACTGGTTGTCTGGCATGAGCACTTCCAGGGACGTGATAGGTTGTGACCACAAGATGGAGACGCTGTTAAAGTCGGTGTGACCCTGTAGGCGAACTCCACCAAGAGCTTTGTCGTCCTTCTCCTCAGGGGTGTGGTAGAGGGCGTATCGCAACAGGTCAAGACCTTGAGACGCGTCGTTCGACAAATTCCAAAGCGTGTCAACGGGCAGCTTGAGCACCAGCGACAGCACGTTGAGGACCTTGCGCAGCACGACATCGTGGTTGAACTGTAACAAGAAAGCCGGGTCAGCTGAGCCCAAGGTGTAGATGAAGACTGCGTACCAGTCGCGCACGTCACACTCACGTGGTTGAAGTCATCGATCTCGGGAATCAAGTGCTGAATGGACTGAGGGTACAGCCTCTGCCTAGCCTCTTGAGAAAATGATTGGGTGCCAAAGTTGAGTTGCTGCATAGGGCGCAGCGATTGAGGGTCAGCTCTTGCGACCGCTCATCATTTCTCCTGCCACGACAATCAGTCGAGCCGACGCGAAGCTCACCTCGATCCTGTCAGCGACTGCCGCATCGCCAGACTTCCAGTGACCAGCGGGCTTGAAGCCGACAAAGGAGCCCTTGTTGATCATATCAGCCTTGTACTTGACCTTGTCCTCGTCCGAAACGATGTTGAAAGCAGCTTGTCCAATGGCAAACTGCCTCAACACCTGATCGTGGCTCCAGCCATGGTTCTCTGCATACATGAACCCATCCCTGTTGAAGCTCTCTCCGACGTTCTGGACGAGCGATGTGGGAATCTCGTCGTAATTATCACCCTTGATGAGCGAGAGGTCAAGCGTGTTCAGCGGCGCCCACTCGAGGTCTGCAGGCGGTGAACAGAGCAAGTCACTGGTCAGAAGGGCTCGAAGTGTAGCGATTGATTGCCGCAGCACACAGCTTACCTGTAGCCGTCGTGGGCTTGGGAGGGATCCAAGGAGGCAGGTCGAGTTGAGAGGCTGGCATCGTGTCTGCAGTCACAAGGGAGCGAGGGTAGCTTCAGAATGTGCAAGGTGAGCAATGTCAGAGTCGTTGTGGTGGTAGAGATGTAGGTGGTCATCCTCCTTGGCTGTTTGAAACGCAGGCATGGCCCACGCTCCGGCTGGCCGTGCTCGATCTAGCTAACGCCGAGTTCAGCGTGAGAGCGAAAGCGTCAGATGTGAGGGCGTTGACGACATTTCGGCAAATGATGCGGTGGAGGGGGCAGAGTTGAGCCGCGATGCTTCGCATGCACGAGGGCACGCGCACCCATCCTCGCGTCTACAAGGACCGCTCCCAACTTGCCTGTCGTGTCTCCCTGCCTCTTGAATTGGTATCAGATTATTTCACAGTACACTTGCGAAGCACACGACCACGTTTCGAGGGACGCTAGTGGGTACTGAGAACAGCGTAGTGGGTCGCACGGCTGGGACAAGGAGGCGAGAAGAGGGATGGCGGTATTTTGAAAGGTGCAACACGTGAAATCACGCAATAGCGATCGCATAATCCAGTCTTGAGTCTCGCGCTCGCACGGACTTCGTCTGACGTCGAGAAGATTCTGCCACTTGGCAAGTCGCATCGGGCTGAAAGCAGCAACACTCGCTGGATCAAAACTACGCTCCGCTCGCTCTCGCTCTCACGACTTGCCCGCATGGATAATGCTGGGTGTAAGAAGGCCGGCCGACTCATCAGCAAGTATAGTAGTAGTGGGATTATACACGTGAGAGACGTACCAGACATGCTCACATGTCTCAAGCGAAGGTCTGGCTTGAATGATCGGACTTTCGGGAAAGCTGCGAGGGGCCCGGCGTAGAGGCGGCAGCGCTCAGCTCATCTCCCATGTAGCTGATCGCAGCCGCGTGACTGGTATACCGACAGGACAAGGTACTGTACACATTATGATTCGTGGTTATATAGCACTCAGGACTCGAGCGGGAATGGCAACCAGACCGTGGCTGTGCATGGCTGGACAGGCTCAACTATAGACATCGAATCGAGCACACACATTCGTGACTATTTACGTGCGTGAGTAGAGCGCTGGATTTGAAGTCATCGATGACTTACAAGTTGATTGCGATTTGTATTCCTTCGCAACTCACGTGACTGCGATCGTCCTGCATGTTGCATCGAAGCATGCTGATGACGATGCGTTGCTGCTGTGTCAATGCGCAAGGCCCGCACGCGGCGCACGCATCCAATGCCGTGTCTGCTGCATATACAGCAGTCAGAGTAATAATAATGGCCGGCGTGCCTGCCGGAGCGACATATACCGAAAGATTCAATCAAGTTTCAGCCTCCGGTCTCTCCGCGCTGCCACATGTGCAGCGCGTGTGCGCGACAGACCGCGCAATCATCATCAAGAATAAGACATTCACTGTGACTCCTGATTCACATTCGCATACACCCGCGGGCACGGCTGATTGGTGTTGTTGTTGT